AGGGATAAATCTGATGCAGCATTGAAAGGAAATTTTGGCAAGCCTTGGTATAAAGAAGCTTCATTTGTGTGGCAAATCATAACAGTACTGGTTACTCATATTAAAGGAGAAATGAGAAGAGGATAACAAAGCAATAATTGAAAATATTTTTAGTGTGACACAATTAGACTTAATTGATTTTCTGGTTTAATCTCAGGATATTCTGACAGGTCCTGCAATTAGTACTTCATTTTGATGTCAAAACCAGCTTCTTGTATTAAGTATCATTTAAGTCCATGGTAGTTTTCTAAGGCTGGAGTCAGAAACAGAAAGACTGAAATTAATGGGAGAGTGACATCTATAAAACAGAGAAGTGACATTCTTGGAAATAGTTTTAGGTGATAATTTGGAAAAAGGAAGAATAATAATTGCATTATTCTGTTTGGAACTGAAAACTTTTATTTCCATAGCTAGTCTCAGTTAACTCTTGCTTTTTTTGAGTGAATGATGTCAGTTAGAAGTTATAGATTTAATAGAACCATAAAACTCACATTTTCTTCATGGAGTTCTTACTCTGTCTAGCTAATACTCTTGGTTCTGAATGTAGTAATTGCATCAATTAAAAGTAAGTTCTGTACTGTCATTTTCCTATATTTAGGAAGATGAGAGAAGGGAGACTCTGAAACCTTTCTACTGAGATAGATTGATTCAGGTTAATTAGGGTGTTGATGTACTCAATTTTCAAGGTTATCAAAACCTCGCTGCCTGCATTAGGCAGCACTTAAGCCCACAGTTGTTTCCCAAAGGTCAGAAACAGAAACTGAAAGTAATCTAAAAGTGACATCATAAAAAAAAAAATGAGGTTTGAATCTTATTACATAGCCAAGATTTGGCCAGAGCATACAACTATGAAGAAAGAGAGAAATAACAAATGGGAAGGGGTAACCAAGTAGATTCCAAGTTGTAGGGGCAAACAAGAGGTCTCCCTCAGTACTTTATCTTTCTTTTTCCCCTTATATCTGGAAGTGTCTGTTTCTTGAAGTCACCTGTGAAGATAAGTTGTATCTTCTCATCAGGGTTGTAACTTGTTAATAATTCTGTTTTATAAGTTAATTGTCTTTTAATGTCAAAGAAATCCTTTTTAATACTACTTTTCTAAACATTAACAAGATGCATATTTGATACTAAATGAATGGAAATTGTTTTTTATTTTAATCATAAACGTGCTTCTTTAATTTTATTTAAGTGTATTGGTACAATTTAGGTATAATGAATTCGTTATATGGAATTTGTATTAGTACATGATATATCTTGATTCCTCTTTTTTATTCTGTTCTCATTACCTCCTTTCAAACCCTGTTCCTACCCATTCACAAAGCTATTTTTTACCCCCTTTTCTGATTTTTTTCTTTCCATTCTTGTCACTCTCTCATCCCTATTTCCCTTTTCCTTCTCAACAGTGTCTTCCTATTTCATAGTATATATTGTATATTTTTGGTTCTTACTTGTAACTTCAGTTTCTCACACCATAGAGACAATGTGATTTCTATACATGTGTCCAATTTATTTTACTTATGATTAAAACACTATTAATCTTAAATCTTTCAAATGGGAAATAAACATTTTGATGATAAAAATTTAGTACTTTGGAATTAAGAGTTTGAGGTGTCTTCTTTTGCCACTAAGTGATTTTGTACCACAGAAGTTAATGCAAGAATATTTTCACCTTAGTGGCAGAGTCAAAGTTAAGAATTTGTATCCCTGCACTGTAATGCAGAATGCTAACAATATTATCATAAGCAGTAGATTTCCAGAGGCATTTAAATAAAATGAATTTCAGCTTTTGTGTTTCAGTTTTTAAATTTCTGTTTGAAATTCAAAACATTATTGGTCTTAATTAACAACAATAAACATATTTGGTTATTAGGACTTCAGTCATAATCTTACTGTTCATATGAGCTTTACGGGGAATCTTTGATAAAAAGTTGTGTTATTTTACATTTATCAATATAATGCCAGCAAAAAGTTTATACCATTTTACCTAAATGTGACAATTACCAAGTCAGTCACTTTTAATAGCAGTGGTATTGCGTGCAAAGAATTCAGCTAGAGCTTAAAACCATCACTAGTACTGCTTTTGTGAGTATAATTGAGATTATTCTGTGAAATACTAAATGAATTACCTCTTTTTTTCCATAATTTTATTGAGAGACAAAGCAATGAGACAGTTTCAAATCAAATTGTTAGGACAGTTTCAATAATTAACACATTACATACTGCCTTCCTAGTGGTTATTTGTGTACAAGATGCAGACATGATATGCTATTTATAAGCACTATTACAACAAATCCCTCTATTCATTAAGAGAATGTAACTATATATCTATCCTAACCATTTTGAATACACAGCTACAAAATGGACATTCATCTGTATCCCCTTTTCTGTTTAGTTCCATCATTTGAATATGATAGGTGTGTGAGCTCAGCAAATATTCTAAAAGGGTCCAGTAGTCCATAATAGTATTGGGTCTCCTTCTTGACTGGTGGTGTCAGAAACTGTTGGCTTGAGTCCCCTAAAACTCAACATAACACCATGGCTTTACTTCTTATACTTCGTTTTTATACTTTTTTGCTGAATGGCTAAGACCAAGATAAAGTAAGACCTATGCAACAAGAATTGTAGCTTTTCGATCTGATAAGGTGAAGCAAATGCCCTCAAGATTTATCCTAAGATTCTGTACCTCAGATTGGAGATCCTTTGTCAGTGTCAGCCATGTGAATGAGTCACAGCCATTGCTTGGCCAATGTGCTCTCTGTGAAAGGCTGAAAGAATGTTTTCTCTCTATGTGACTATCCTTAGGCACATTCTACATCATTGATCACTTTCCTCTTTGGCCCCATAATCTCCTTGATCAGAAAATTTGGGACACTATGAGTTACATGACGTTACACTACAAGTTCTCATATGTCCTGAGTCTTAATTGACCTTGGAAGGCTAGGGCCAAAATGTTGGCTTTCCTTGCCGCCCTCCTTTTTCTCTAATTTTGGTCTGCAAACTTAGGTTGTTAACCCTCCAGAAGACAAGCTTATTGTTATTATGGTACAACCTAGGCTGTTGAGCTTAACCTCACTATCTGTCTGGATATCAAACATCTTAGGCATAACATGGAACAGGTATTTTTCATCAAGTATTGACATGTTGAACTTTAAAGTCCCTACAGAGGGGCTAGGGAGATGGCTCAGTAGAATAAAAAAGCTTTCCTGGCAAGCACAAGGTCCTGAGTTCAATCCCCGGTTCTGCCAAAAATAAATAAAAAACAAGTCCCTACAGAATATGATGAAAAAACATTTTAAAAATTAAAATATATTTTAAAAATAGGCATAAAGTATTACATAATTCTTATGTTTACACATAAGTCCTGAAATCTAACCATATACAACCTTGAAGCAGGACTGTCCCGCAATATTCCTTTTCCTGTCTCCTGCCTTCATTCACCACCCACATCTACCCAAGAGACAGCATGGCAGCAACTGGCATGTCATAACAAGCAGCCTGTATTCAGAAGGCCAGAATGAAAGGCACTCCAAGCATGAGCCTACTATTATAAATTGCCATGTTCAGTGCAGTTGCATAGTTAACAGGTGTCTGTATATATAGTTAGTCAGGGTGAGAGTCATTCCAATTAACTTCTAGATTCAGAAATCTTCTGAAGATTCTCAGGATCATTGTCTTACCCATCTTCTATATCTAACTGTATGGCTTGCTGCTGTCATGTTCAAATCACACGGGAAACACTTGAAAGAATTAACAACTGGGACCTGCTCTTATTGAGAAGCTTTCGCACGTTAAAAGAAATCACCAACAAAGTGAAAAGACAACCCACAAATTTGGAAAATATCATGCCTACTCTCTAGAATCTATAAAGAACTAAAAAACACTAGGGCCTCAAAATTTAAAGACCCAGTCCAGAAATGGGCATCCGAGATGGATATACACCTCTCAGAGGATGAGATTAAAAAAGCGAATAAATATATGAAAAAATGCTCCACATCACTAGCCATCCGTGAAATGCAAATTAAAACAACATTGAGATATCATCTCACCCCAGAAAGAATGGCTATCATAAAGAAAACAACCAACAACAAATGTTGGAGAGGCTGTGAGGAAAAAGGAATCCTTCTCCACTGCTGGTGGGAATGTAGACTGGTGTAACCGTTATGGAAATCAGTATGGAGACTCCTTAGAAAAGTTGGTCTGGAAATCCCCTTTAAACCAGCTATTCCTCTACTGGGAATTTTCCCAGAGGATCTGAAAACATCATATCATAGGGATATATGTGTGCCTATGTTTATAGCAGCACAATTTGTGATAACCAAATCTTGGAAGCAACCAAGATGCCCATCACCTGAGGAATGGATGCAAAACATGTGGTATTTTATACAGTGGAGTATTACTCAGCTATAAAAATTAGCCTTTATATTGAAGTGGATGCCACTTGAATATATACTCATAAGTGAAATAAACCGGACACACATGTGTAAATATCGTTTAGTTTCCCTACTATAAGAACTCAAAAAAAGAAATACAAATAGAAAGGTATAATACAATTAAAAGGAAAGCAAGAACTTGAGGACTAGACAATGAAAAGAGCAATGAATTACCTATTGAAAATGAAAAAAATAATGAAGATAAAGTACTAATGTTTAATATTTTGCCCATGCCAAGCGGATATATGAACGTCATATTGAACAAGTTTGTCTGAAAAATGTTTAGAGAGCTTTGAATGTGAAAGTTGTATTATGTGTCCTTATAAAGATAAAGAACATCATTATTTTAATATTCTTAAAAGTAGTATTCTTGGTACTTATGCTCAATTAAATATTGCATTAGTAAAAATATTTGTTTTTAGCTAGATAATTTATACCCATGGAAATGAGCATAAAGTGAAGGTTTTTGTTATCTCCTGTCAATAGCCACAATTTAATAGTAAATAAATACGGTATAAATTGTTTCTGTTCCAGAGATTCCTCGGAAATAGTCATACATTCAGCTGATGCATTTGCGCCAGTGGCTTATCTGCGCTTTTTAGAATTGCACTTGGAAGACAAGGCAAGTAAATCTAAGGTTCACTTTGATTTTATACAAAACAGATACATGTTTTGGTCCTATATGTAAACCCACATAACAGTAGAAGTAGTAGTTGACTTTATCTCTAGTGATTGTTTTTCAACTTCTCAGTCAATAAGAAGGGATTTTATAAGCGCTGTAGTTTTGAGGGCTCCTTATGGTACAAAAGACATTATATTTCTAAAGAGCTTGCTGATCTGTTGGAAGAGAGTAATAAATAATAAACATTGAGATGAACAGCAACCCTATAAAAACCAAATGTTAAAAAATTAAATCGGTGATAACATACCAATAATTAGGTTATTGTATATAGGGTTAGGGGAAAGATTTGATGGTGTAGTTGGTAATCTTTATACAAAGCTTAAGAGGGAAGCAAATAGAAATAAAAGCTTTTTTAATAATATCCAAGGTAAACTGAGGCACAAAAAGAAAATGAAGCAAAAAATGCCGTAAGGAGTTTTATATTAAATAAATTGGTCAAGATACAACAAAAATGTCAGTTATACTTGTATGTTAGTGTTGTTAGTCTTGTATGTTAGTTGTCTCTCCCTAAGTCTTGAGACACATGTACAACTACAATTTATGTGGTAAAGAATGTGAAGAAGGACTGATGAAAATTTGGCAAAAGTAGGAAACGAATCTGAAAATATCCAAATGAGAAATTGCATAATAGAGTTGTTGTTGGTGATAGTTTTTTTAATGATGCCATTTCCCCAGAAAAACAATTATGAATAGGATTAGAAATGGCTCAGTGAATTCAACTAGAAGATAGTTTTTGGGGGCTTTGATTTAAAAAGATGATAACCATCAAGAGAATTAAGTTATACTATCTAAACATCTTTCAAACTCATGGAAACGAACCACTTCTGTTTCCCTTCTACTTTTCTGCCATATAACACATTGCAAAACCACAATCTATATTTATTTTTTTCCATAATATTATTGAGAAATAAATAGCAATGAGACAGCTTCAAATCAAATTGTTAGGACAGTTTCAATAATTAACACATTGCATACTGCCTCCCTAGTGGTTATTTGCTGTACAAGATGCAGACATGATATCCTATTTACAAACACTATTAGAACAAATCCCTCTATTCATTAAGAGAATATAACTACATATCTATCCTAACCATTATGCATACACAGATACAAAATGGACATTCATCTGTATCCTCTTTTTTGTTTAGTCTGTCATTTGAATATTATAGGTGTATTAACTTAGCAAAATATTCTAAAAGAGTCCAGTAGTCCATAATAATATTGGGTCTTCCACTTGACTGGCAATGTCAGAAATTATTGACCTGAGTACTCTACAGCTCCACATAACAGCATGGCTTTACTTCTTGTACTTCTTTTTTACACTTTTCTGCTGGATGGTTAAGATCAAGATAAAGCAAGACCTATGCAACAAGAGTTGTAACTTTTGGATCTGATAAGATCAGTCAAATCCTCTCAGAATTTATCCTGAGATCCTGTACCTCAGATTGTAGATCCTTTGTCAGTGTCAGCCATGTGGATGAGTCACGGCCATTGCTTGGCCAATGTGCTCTCTTGTGAAAGCCTTAGAGAATGTTTTCTCTCTATGTGACTATCCTTAGGCATATTCTACATCATCGATCACTTTCCTTTTGGCCCCATAATCTCCTTGATCAGAAAATTTGGGACACTACTGAGTTACATGACATTACAGTACAAGATCTCATATGTCCTGAGTCTTAATTGACCTTGGAAGGCTAGGGCCAAAATGTTGGCTTTCCTGCGGCCCTCCTTTTTGTCTTATTTTTGGTCTACAAACTTAGGTTGTTAACCCTCCAGAAGAGAAGCCTATTATTATTACCATACAACCTAGTGTGTTAAGCTTAACTTCACTATCTGTGTGAATATCAAACATCTTAGGCATACTATTCAACAAATATTTTTCATCAAGTATTGATATGTTGAGGTTTAAGTCCCTACAGAATATGATGACAAAACAGTTGAAAAATTAAAATATATTTTAAAAATAGGCATAAAGAATTATATAATTCTTATGTCTTCTGAATATGGGCTGCTTGTCATGACATGCCAGTTGCAGCCCTGCTGTCTCTTGGGTAGATGATTGTTTAAAAAGAAGGGGGTTGGGGCCAGAGAGATGACTCTGGAATAAGCACTTACCTGACAAGCGCGGGGGCCTGAGTTCAATCCCCAGTTCTGCCAAAAAAAAAAGGGGGGTTGGTGAATGAAGGCAGGAGACAGGAAAAGTAATGTTGTGGGACTGTCCTGCTGCAAGGTTATGTATGGTTAGATTTCTGGACTTCTGTGTAAACACAATGTATATTTACACACTGCTCCCTTTATATGTTCTGGTTTACCTGAATAGGTCACTATCTACCTTGTTTGGCATTGTATTGTTCCTCTTAGTCCATTTGCCCTGTTGCAGATAGTAGTGTTACAGCTTTAAGGTGAAGATTTACTGACATTGCTTAAATATGATTTATTTTTTCTTCTTTTTTATTCTTTCAGGTTTCACCAGTGCCAGACAACTACAAAATATGTGGTTCAGTACATAATTCTTAAAAAGCATTTTAGAACATTGTTGAGTAAACTATCATTGCTATAAAAAATACATACCAGTTCGTGAACTGTGACCAACTTTTCCATACTTTTGTAATGTCTTAAAAAGAATACTTGTTTCCAGAAGAAATTAGTAGTACTGTTAATTGATTGGGAAAAAATATATCAGTGACTTCATTCAGTACTACTACCTACTTCCTCAGGATTCACTTTCTCTTTTCTAATAAGAGTTCACTATGATCTCTATGTCATAGGAGAAAAAATATGTATCCTTTTTTTCCTTTTCCTTTCTCTCCAACTCTCATTTTTTTTAATATTTCATCATTACATTAGTTTCTTTTCCTTCTTTTATTTCATTTTACTGTCCTTGCCAATTAGTCATGATGCCAAAACACCTGAAAAGGAAGGTGAAAAACAGTTAGTTTTTTTAGCCAATAAACTTGTTCTGCTAGTTGTTATCTGTTTTGTTTTGAATATATTCATTTTTCAAGAATTTCAATGTAACTGTACAATGAAGACTATTATAACTGGTTACTTATTTTATTTTATTTCTTGAGACAGGGTCTTGCTGTGTAGTTCGGGCTGGCTTTTTACTCACTATGTAACACAATCTTCTCACGGTGATCTTTTCTGCCTCAGCCTCCCATATACTGGAGTTACATTTGTGTGCCACCATGCCTGGCTATAACTGATTAATTTATAACTGATTTTTTAAAATGCAACTTTCTTTATTCTTAACTTAGGGGAAAAAAATTTTAATACTTTTTTCTAAAATGCTTTTTGTTTCACAGAAAAACTGAGCAGGAAGCATAAACACTATATATACTCCCTGCCTCTCCACAAGCACAGCCTATCCCACTGTTGATGTCCTGCCAGACTAGTACATTTGTTTCAGCTGCTGTACCTACTTTGATGACTTACTTGTGTTATGGTCACTCTTGTGTTTTATATTGTATGAGCTTTGGTGAATGCCTCCCTTCCATGTAGCTCCTAGTAACTATTGATCTTTTTATTTTCACCATAGTTTAATTTTGCAGAATGGCACATAGTTGGAATTATAAGATTTATAGCCCTTTCAGATTAGCTTGTTGTCCTTGTTAATATGCATTTAGATTCCTTTGTGTCTTATGGCCAACTACCTCATTTCTTTGTGATGCTGAATAATACTGCATTATCTTTATATAACAATGTTTATTTTTTCCATTCATTTTCCAAAGAATATCACCTAGGTTGCTTCCATTTTTTGGTCCTTATGAATAAAGTTGCTATAAACATCCATGACAGCATTTAACTGTGAATGTAAATTTCCAGTTCATTTCTATAAATGCCAAGGAGCATATATACTGTATCATAAGCAAATGGTAAGGAGATACCTAGTTTTTAGAAATTGTCAGTCTTCTACAGTAGCTATCCTATTTTGCACTCTTGGCAGCAATTAATGATCATTGGATGTTATACATGGTTTAGATTCTTTAATCTTATTGTTTTAGTTTATAATCCATAATAATTTCTAATGTTCAGCATGTTTCCATGTATATTTGCCATCCATATGTTTTTTTTATTGTTGTTTCATTTTGTTTTGGTGGAACCGGGGCATCCATGTTTTCTTTGGTCAAATTTATCTTTATATCTTTTGCTCATTTCTATTTTTTTTTGTATTATTAACTTTAAGATTTATTAGCTGTATCAGTCAGTTTTGGTGGCACAGGGACACAATAGCCTACATCTGCAATTTAAAGAAAGGAGGTTTGATTTAACTGACAGTTTCAGGAGAGAAATTTGGTCCATGATTCAATCCAAGGCAGAATCATCAATGTAGAAGAGTTTTACAGAATTAGACTGTGTAGTTCCATGGCAACCAGGAAGCAGAGCAAGGGAACAATGCCAGAGATTAAGGGGCCAGGACCAGATACAGTATCAAGGTAAGAGCTCTGTTATGCACCCAGACATACCTAGAAATGTGATACACCAATCCTCTGGGCAACTCCCAAGCCAATCAAGTTGACAAAATTAAGTTTGATCACCACATATGATCCCTTGTACAATTATTTTCTCACATTCTATTGTGTGTTCTCTCATTTTCTCATTAGTGTTTTTACAGAGTAAAAGTTCTACATTTTAATCTATATAATATCCCATAAAAAAGTCATGCAAATCCAAGGTTATCTAAATTTTATCTTATGTTCTAGGAGTTGGTCAGTTTTATGTTTTACAATTAAATCTCTAATAGATTTTGAATTTTGGTAAGAGGTACAAAGCCTTTCTTTTTATTTAGATAAAGTTGTTCTTTTTTTTCTTTTGTAAATTAGCATGGTGTATTTCAGTTCTGTTTGCTTTTATTGTTTGATATGTTTTTCTTTTGTTTTACAAATGTCACATTGTTTTGATTATTTTAATTTTTTAGCCTTGAAGTCAAATGTTTGTCTTTTTTTTAAATTTTATTTTATTTTATTTTGTTTCTCTGGTGGAACTAAGGATTGAACTCAGGCCCTTGTGCTTGCCAGGCAAGCGCTTATTCTACTGAGCCATTTCCTCAGCCCCCAAATGTTTGTCTTTTAACTTACATTTTTCTATATTGTATTATTGTTTCCTCATGTAAATGTTGGAGTTAAATTGTTATCATCCACAAAATACCTTGTTCAAATTTTTATTGGGATTACATCAATCTATGAATGAAAATAGACCTGACACATGGACAGTATTTTTTCTTTTATCTCTCTTTTTTCAGTTTATACTTAAGATTTATCCAAACTTCATTGCTTATTTATTTTGTACAATTAAGATTTACTTTTGAATTTTTTAAACACTGATCCAAAAATGTTAATTGTACAGTTAAAATTGTATCAATAAAATTGATATTCCTTATTTAATGCATAGCGGTTATTTTTAAAGTTTTTATTAGTACATGTTTATAGTATATGCTTGTATCCATCTTGACTATTTAATCTCCAAGTCTATGAACACATCTCACTACTCATTTTGTTCTTAAATCTTTGTTCAGCTCTGAGAGCTTTTATTTAGTTCAGTTTTTTAAGATGTGTTTTCTTTTCATAACAGTAGTATGGATATGGCCCCAGTTAGAATTATTTCTTATTCTGTACAAAATGTAAACTCATCCCCCTTCAAGTTTATGTTTCTCTGTCTTGTTATTTAGCATAACTGTTTCTCTTTTATTAACTCAAGTCACAGAATTTGGTATCATCTTTTAAGACATCTCTCATATACCATGTTGTTGTATCTCTTAAAACATTCCATCCTTATGCTTGTTTCTCCAGGTAAAGGTTGTGATTGGTCCGAACTCTTTTAACTCCGTGTTTTCTTTCTTTACATATTCAATTCCACTGTCATATTTTTCTTTCTATGTTTATTATCCTGCATGAACTTCCACAATAGTGCTGTATTATTTTCTAAGCCAAGATAATTAGGCAGGAATTGAAGTTCATATTATATTACTACATTTATTTTCAGTCTGTCAGGCCTCCACTCGTATCCTTTGCTCTAATAGTACTGAACCATTTGGCTTCTTTCCTCCTTGCTGTTGCTTATTCTTTCTGACATGCTTTTCTTCTTCCCTTGACTGTTTATATCATACCCATGATACAAGATTGAACTCAAATATTCTCATGCATTTAGCCATAAGAAATGGACTGTCTTAACATTATTTTTTTCTATTTTGTAAGGAAAATTCAACTTTATGTTCTAGCCGTTGAAGGACCGATTATACTGTTACAGATTTCTTGAGAACAGCTCCTTTTTCATTATCATATTCTCTCAATCAGCTTTGTTCAAAAATATTTAGCTAAATATTAATAAACTTTTGAATTTAATTGTTTTTCATGCTTCACTTTTCTTAAAATAGAGTCTTAGAAACAGGCTGAGAGATAGCTCAGTGAAATAAGTGCTTGCCTGGCAAGCACAAGGTCCCAAGTTTGATTCCTGGTACCACCAAAAAATAAATAAATAAAAAGTTTCCTCTTAGAATCTTAGAGGCATGTGTTTTCATTCCAGGTTGCATACCATTTTATGAGTCATTTTCATATTTTTCTTTTATCTTGTTATTAGAGAAAAATGCTCTGAGCAAACTAGAATGTAAAATGCAGCATTTAGAGAAATTGTTAGTGTATATTTTATGTTATTGTCTATATTGTGACTTTATAATGTTCACCCTTAAACGTTTTTCTATAAATGATTTATCTACTTAAATTTCACCTTTAAGTTAGAATTTTACATTATTTATGTGAGCATTAAAATGATACCAGCTGAACATAGGATCCGAAACAAAATAACTGAATAATGAAAAGCTCTGGGTTAAAAATAAGGAAATAAATTAAAATTTCTTTCAGACTGACTTTATTGCTTATGGCAAACTTGATGCTAAAACATACCATACATCATGGCAATGACAGGATTGAGAAAATGAAAAATACAAAGCTTTACATAAATCAACCAAAAGATCATATTAAAATGCATAACCTTTAACAGCAAAATCAAGACTTTTTCTAAATATTCAATATGCTATCTTATATAGTTGTTTTTAGATATTCAGTGTCATAGCAAATAGTATTCCAAATTAGTTAAGAGCAATGAGAATGTATTTCTAATGAAGTAATTTCAGGTGGAGAAAATGTCCAAGTAGGGGATGACAGCAAAGTAAATGTCTCCAAATTAGCACCGGAGGAAAGCAGGCATCCTGAGGCAAGAGCATGTGATAAATTTTTACATGGCCAGGCAAATAAAAAGTGAAAGTGGTCTAAAATCCAGTGTCTGGGGTTTGGGGTACTTGTCTGCACCTAGGTAATGGCACCTTACCTCCACTCCACTCTAGGTGACAATAGGATTAAGTGACAGAATTGGCTCTTCAGTAGTGACTGTGTTATAGAACAGATTCATAATCACTCTAACTGCCCTACTGAGCATCAGAAATGAGATGCTTTCAAGCCAGATATTCAGAAAACAAAAGCGACAGAACAGTGTAAAACAGACACCACACACGTAGGCCTTATAAGAAAAAAAGCGACCTTTCAAATTGAAACAATCAGATCTTGAAACTATGACTGAGTTGTGCAATTGGCTATATTACCAGAGTACAGCTCACACAAAGAAAATAGGTCCAGAGAGATTAGCCCTCACCACTGTGGACAGGAAGTAGAGTAATCCACAGAAGGAAACTACTTAGCTTCTCACAGATTGTACTTCTGTGTAAAGGGGACATAACTATAAGGAGGCTTTATTTTTTGTTTCCTCTCTTGTTTGTTCTGTGTTATCTTTTTCCCCCACTGGTTCTTTTTTATATTAGTATTGTTTTGTTATTTTTCTTCATTCTTTAAATTTGGCCCTATATCCTGTTCCTTCTGTTTTTGTTCCTGGTTTTTGTTTGGTTTTTTTGTTTGTTTGTTTTTGTTTTTTGTTTTTTGTTTTTGTTTTGCTCTTTTTATTTTCTTATTTCTATCTTCTCTGA